ATCAATATGGTCAACGTTGTGGGGGGAAATGTTGTCCAAGCTCTTTTGTACCACGAATACTTTGGTCCTCAGAATATTAAGGGTATGGAAGGGGGACCATGCAACATTGTAGTTTCAAGCACAAAGGTGTTGAGCAAGGCGTGCGTGAACCCATAATCTGAGATCGTGAGACCGTCGATGTTCGCATTAGATGGTCCACTGAAATTTGAGTAATTGACCTCAAGAGAGGGTAGCGAAGGCCGAAATTACGGCCTTGCTGGACGGGTGGCCGATCAATGGCAACGATTCGAGTAACGAGGTGGAAGAGGAAGCGATATTTTTGTCTGCGACGCTATGGAAGAAATCAACCTTGGCACGGAGGAGGATCCACATTCCCCTTTCATAATACCAGCTTGCATGAGTCTGACAGGTACGAGTTAACTCTGCTTTTGAATAGCTTCAAAGATTGTTTTATGTGTGATTATCATGAAATTTTATATGAGCGTGTTGCAATCATTCTTCTTAGCCAATTTATCTATTTTATACTAGTTTGTCGAGTAATTGAAAGTCTTGAGCAACACATACGCTAACGGCATTGCACTAACAAGATCACTGCTGTTGGAGTGAAGCCGTGCTATTTGGTTTTTCTTTTGGCCAGAGTTGTTAAGTATGGCTGGCTGGTTGTGATATTGTTGAGATTGTTACAGTGCCGAGAAATAATAAACTTGGCATTACTTTTTTTTCCTACCACATAATAAGGAGAGAAGGGCCAAACATTGTCGTTTTGGCCTAACCCATGGTGCAAAGCTGTTTGTGCCACTTTCTTTTTACTTTCTCAACATCGTTGGGGAGGCGCTACGCGGGGAAGTATAGGGGTGTATTCTTGAAAAAAAAAAGATAAATACATTTCTGCCAAAACAACAACAACAAAAAATCAGAGTTGTTGTGCAGGAAAATAACGTTGTTTAACAAAAAGGGGGAAAAGACCAATTATGGTCGATTTGCTCTAAGCTACGTTGGAAGATGGTTTCAAATTTGGCCAAATATTAATTTAAAAAAAAAAGGAGTGGGATTCTCAATTTCATTCCTGCCACGGGAAAGGACATGAGAATTGAGAAAGGTGTTGTCTTGTGGGAAGAGTCCCTTTTGGAAAAGGATTGTTCAAATTAGAATTACAGCCATGTGGGTCTCTACAATTGCAAGGAGGAAGTTGGCATGGCCATGTTACGTGGATGAGTCAATTTGACCATACAAGTGTGGGGTTCGTTTCACCAAATCGTTGGCTAATCAAAGTGGTGGCTTGGGTAGTAAAAGCAGGGTTGTAATACTTAAATATCATCGCAGCTGTGTTCCTATTATTTGAAAACATCATTGCGGCCCCGATTGTGGTAGGGATTCGGAGAAAAAGAAACGTAATCGTATTGGCTCTACGACAATGCGGAGTAAAAGGCGAAGTTCAACTAATGCATCTATGTAGGTCTGTGTTTGGAGGAGTATTTCAAAACACTGCCACGGAAGACCAAGCAATGTTGCGGCTAGGTTGGGATTCTACCGGCTCTGTCGGTGATAAAAAAAGGGGGAACGGTGCCGTTTAGTATAGAACAGGGCAGGCAGGGCCGCGATAATGGTAAACAGCACTGATAAAAAAAAAATTAAATCAAGACTGTTTGGACGCGAAACAGCGCTGCGAATGCGAGGCCGCACAACTGGCCGCAATAGAGAATAATAATAATATTATAAAAAAAAAACTGTCGGCCGCTACAACGTTGGCAAAGCAGCTATGCATTTAGCCTAAGGAGGTGACGAAGTAGGTTTGTTATACATGCACGGAAGCACAAATGCTGCCAACAACATTGTTTTAGAGGGACCATACAATTGAAGTGTTCCAATTCCACATGAAAGGTAATTTCACAATGCCCTTCCCAACGTTGGCAAAGGATGATGAGAATGGTCTTTAGTTGGAGAAGGAAACCTAGTTTCACAGGGAAAAGGCCTCAACGCGGTTGTTGGCCACTAATGCTTTAGAACAAATCATCAGTGTTGTTGCTGAGGCCAGGTATTGTTTTTCGGTGTTCTCTTTAAATTTTGTCAACAATTTGGTTCATAATTCTTATAAACCAAATTGTGGGGGCATTTGTTGACACCTAAAATTAATTTGGCCTGAATTAAATGCCGCATTAATTAGTCTCGGCATTTAATTCGATAACGCAGGTAAAAAACGGTGTCGTTTGGAGTCGAGTGGCATCGCGGAGAGTTAAAACGATACCGCGAAACAAAAAACGGTACCGCAAGGAAGCTCAACGGTACCGCGGTACTGGAAACGACACCGCTTACCGAAAAAGAAAAGGGGCCGCACGTTTAGTGTGGGTAATGGAGAAGGATTTTTCTCTAATTAATTATTATTTTTATTCCTTGTTGGATGGGAAGAAGCGGCACCGCGGAGAGTTAAAACGGTGCCGCGGATTTAAAAACGGTGCCGCGGAATTAAAAACGGAACAGCGAGGAAGCCCAATGGTACCGCTATACTAGCAAACGACAGTGTTTAATAATGAACAGTGTCGCGGAAGAAAAAAAAACGGAGCTGGTTGGGGAAGAAAACGACACCGCAAGGCTGGAAGCGGAGTCGTTTAATATTAAAACGATGTCGCGCGTAGAATCAAGCGGTGCTGTTCAGCTAAAAAACAATGATACCGTTTAAGGCATCAACAACGCCGTGATATTACTAAGCGAGGCAGTTCAGTTCGAGACCATACCACAGCTGATTGGATTTTGGCGAGGCCTGGCAAGCCCAACGGCACTGCAAGACGAGAACAACGGTGCCGTTTCGTTGAAAAAGAAACAATGTCGCGTAATGGAAAACGACATTGTTTGTCAGCATCGATTAGTGAAATGCGATGCCGCGGAAAGGTAAAACGACACCGCGGCAGTGGATAAGAGTTCGGCCAAAGGCGACCCGCCAAGACCAACGACAGCACAAGACTGGAAAACGACGTTGTATGATGGGCTAACAGTGTTGTTGGTCAAACAGGGTCGAGGCAATTGAGTTGTGATTGTAAAACGACAGCGATTAGTGAAAGGTGATGTCGCGGTATTGGTGAAACGACATCGTTACATGGACAAGGTTGTAGGATTTGGCTCAATGTCGTTTCGCCAAGTTTCTGCAAACAGGAGCGGTTTCGATGGCACGTGATTATCACGCAACAAGGAGGAAGTTACCTGCACGGTTGACGGGAATGAAGACGTGGGAGACAAAGGCGCGAAGGAGGTTACCACGACTACGGGCCGAAGATTGCAGTATAAAGATCGGGAAGAGAGAGAAGCTCGGGACGGCAAAATCAAATCACAACTGCACCATCGCAGAATCTATCTTTTTCTCTCTAGTTCGTAGAACTGCTCTGTCATAGACCTCCATTGCAAAGTCGTAGTAGTTGTAGATCGTAGTCGTAGTTGCGGAGCTCTCCAGAGGAACCTCCATAAGAGTAGAGGTAACTTAACTTAGAACACTCCTGGTTCGATTTTCTGGTTATTCGTCGAACACCCTCGTTCGAACGTAGTTTGGAGAGGTGGTGAACCGAATAACGGTTGTTTGATTAGAAGTCAAAGGTGCATCGATCAAATCAACGACGCCGACACCGGCGGTGGATATTTGACTGTCGTCTTTGTTTCTGTTCGATTGATCAAATCAACGACGCCGACATTCGGCGGCGGATATTTGACGATTTTTGTAAATTTTGTGTTTGTGCTTACTTGAATACAGTGCGGATTAAACACCCGAGTTTCGTCAACGAAACACCTCGATTATGTTTCCCGGGACCATGGATGGCCCCCTTGAAGAGAAGAAGGCCACTTCTGGAGCTGGCTTCTGGTGCCCAACCGTCACTTTTCCAAGGATTGTTCCTATGGGTTCCTGCATAAATTAAATAAATTGAACAACTTTCAGTTTCTTAATTATAATGGTCTATCGGTTTCTAATTAATAATTAATTACCCGGTGTTGATGTGACTTGAATCGGACTATCAGCCCGTAGTGTATGAGCTCAATGTTATTTGGGTTCGGGTTTTTTGGCCTGGTCTGTAACCGTTTTCATTGCCATATTGGATTAGGTTTAGACCCACATGGAGAAGTATAAATACTTTTCATCTCCTCTGTAATCTGTAATCTCCTCGATATAGTGAAACTGACTCTCTCTCTCGCCCGTGGACTAGCTAACACACATCGTGTTAGTGAACCACGTAAATCGTGTGTCGTGTTTTCAATTCTCGCTTTCATATTCTTACTTTCTCAATTCTGGCAATTTCCCTATCCGCAACAACGCGTTTATAACTCCTGGTAGTATTCAGATAGGTCATCAACTTGTTAGCTTCTTCCAAACTCACGATGGTAATAGGAAAGTCACCATAAAAGCCAGACACCCTACTCTTACGTACGAAAACATGATTAATATATATATGTAAGGTGACTACTTCGGTGCACTCACAAAAATAAGTGTGTTCAATGCACCCAACTCAAAAACCAGTCTTAAGGTGTCGGATTTTGAATTTTAATTTGTAGAATTAGTGTAATATGATGATATAATATATAATAACAACTAATTAGCGGATTACTATAAGCCCTAGACCTCCAATTTTGAGTTCTATCCCTAAACCCCAAACTGTAAACCCTAACCCTAAATCTCTAAACTCTAAATCCTTCAAATTAAAGTAAATCTTCAATGGTTTTTGTGCAAATTCATGTGCGTTATTGTTCATCCCATCATAAGTTATGATTTATATCATTTTGACATAAATCGCATGTTTAAAATGACGGTTATAAAGCGAGTGCACTGAATACACCAAAAAAAGTGAGTGCACCAAAGAAACCACCATAAATGTAATGGTACTTGCTAAACACTTTAATTTCCCCCCTCCCTAAAGCAAAACATAATCAACAACTATAAATAAATTACCTTGCTGCTTAACGGTTCTTATCGACAGTTACCTCGCCGGTGGTCAAAGGGTATATTTATATGCATGCATTTTCCCCTAATAGTTTTCAACTACGTACCCGTTGCACGAACTCATGTTGAAGTCTTTAGAAGTTTGGCAAGTGCCGTTCCATCCTACCGGCGGCGGGGCTCTGCTGGCTGATCGGAAACTCTGCGACTCTGGCCATATCCCGGTGTCGATGAATCCGACCACGGTATCTGAGGAGTAGGCGTCAGCGGGAATATTGGCGTAAGGGATACCAGGAGAGTCCAAACTCCCGAGGAAACCCCATGAGCGCGTGGTGACCAGCTTCCCGTACTTGTCCGGAAAGACGGAGACGACTCCGGGCTGGTTGGAGATGAACCGAGCTTCCTCCGGTAACAACCTCGCCGCGAAAGCCGGAGAATCCGTGACGGTACGTCCTCAGCAGCTGCCCTCGCATGCTTTTGCTGATGGCTTCCTTGAGGGCCAGATTGCTGGGGCTCGCCGCACCGGTGTACACCACATACGCTTGTTGATAATTATGATGGTTATATTTGTTAAACGATCACAAATCAAAGAACATAAATGTAAAGATTTAACGTGGTTCGGCCTTTTAAAGAGACTTTACTCTACGGTGGCTAATGATCGTTCTTATATTTCTTGATCGACTATTAAGCCATAACTCCGGCTTAAATAGCTGCTGATGCTCAGGACCTTAACCACAAAGCCCTAGCACAATTAGCCCGCAATCCACAAAGAATATACATATTTACAATTTGGTCATCAATATTTACATATTTCAACAATATTATCATTATGATGATAATTATGTTTGTAGCAATATATTGTAATTAGGAGACTATGTGAGTAGATGTACGTGAGCTGTACATGTTAGCAGGCTACGTTATTCTATCATACCTTTTGTATATAGTCTTTTGTTCATCCGTGGCCCAATAGCTCTTTTAGCCCATTCTAGTTCACCGTCGTCAGTCCATGAAACCCATGCAGGAGCCGAGTTGTGTGGAACGGCTATCCTTAGGGTTCGATTTTGGCTGTTACTCCTTTGTATATTTACAGCCGAGTGTGGCAGTAGCTAGGGTAACAGATTCTCAATAATATCAGTAGCTAGAAGAGCGTTCAAGCTTTTCCGTGATTTGGTCCTGGATCACACCACGGATACCACGTAAATCCGGCGTATGTGTTTTCGTTATTGCTATTTCCGACAGATCAACATGGTATCAGAGCTTCCGCCTATGGATTCTGATCGTCCTCAGGTCCGTCTGACTTCAACGAACTTCGCTCTATGGGAGTTCCAGTTCAAGGTGTTTGTCGAATATCGCGGTATGCTCGGCATACTCAATGGGACTACACCACAACCGCGTCCAACTCTTCCGGCATCAGAGATCAATCAGTGGAATCAGCAAGATGCACGTGTTCGCTCCTGGCTGCTTGGGAGCATATACCCTTCTACGTGCTTGAGTCTCCGTCCTTTCCCGACTGCACATATGATGATGCAGCATGTGAAATCAACCTATTCTACCGTCAACGTTGCCCGACAATTTGAGATCCAAATGGCTTTGGCTCGCCTCGAACAAGGCGATCAGTCTGTCACCGACTATTTCAACTCGACCCAGGAGCTGTGGACAGAGCAGGTGATTATTTTCGCAGCTCTCCGTCCTCAAATTGTATATGCCGATGCTCTTGCAGAAAGGTAGCAAATCGCTTGCTGCAATTCTTAATGCGGCTGCTTCCCGAATTCGAAGCCGTCAGAACAACCTTGCTGAATCAGGCTGATCTCAAATTTGATGGTATGCTGGGGGTTTTAATTCATGAGGAAACCAGGATGCGCACCCAAGCTCAGCTCGACGTTTGGCCAGGTGCTGGGGAATCAGTCTTCGTCGCATCACAATCCCCTGCCTATGCTGCCGAGAAATTCCAGTTCCAGTGCCGTGCTCCTATTTCCGACCTAGAATGTCATCATTGCCACGAACTTGGCCATTTGAAGAAGCATTGCCTGGGTTGGAACTTTTGCGTTTATTGCAAAAGAACCGGCCATATTGTTCTTGACTGCCGTACCCGCCAACGACATGAATCGCGCGCAGCTGGAGGCACTCCTGGTGGCAGTTGGGCTGCTCCTTCCAGTCGCTATTCGTCAGCAGCAGGGGGCTCTTCTCGAGCTCCTTTGTACCCTACAGACCGTCCCTCCAGGCCAGCATACGTGGCTGACGCAAGCAGCAGCAGTAGTAGAGGAATCTCCACCCTTGATATTGAGCAAATGGTGAATGCCGCCCTTCAGAAATCACTTCCTACCACCATCAACGCTGCGTTTGCAACCATTCATGGATCGGTTGGTAAGAAATCCCCGTGGCTTCTCGATTCTGCATGTTTTAATCACATGACGCATGATTCTAGTTGCCTATCGAAGTTAGCTCCGGTTAGTGATTTATCGTTGAGTGTTGCTAATGGCAGTAAACTGAAAGTTCATGGAATTGGTATGATGCATGATTCTCAGCTGACTTTACCTCATACTCTCCATGTTCCTGATCTTGTTCTGAATTTGGTCTCTGTGGGTCAACTTACCGATGAGGGTTGTTCTGTCTTGTTTGCACCATCTGGCTGTTTTATCCAGGACCTGAAGACGGGGAGGCAGATCGGAAAGGGGAGTAAACAGGGGAGAATTTTTCACCTAGACGAGCTACGTTGATGTGATGCATCGTCATCTATCAGTAGTACTTTCGATAGGCCTATCAGTAGTACAGTTTCTTCTTTGTCCTATTTTTCGAGTTAGTCAAATAATGTATGGGATCTTTAGCACTCCCGCTTAGGGCATCCCCATTCTAGTCGTCTTGCTATAATTTTTAGACAGTCTTTACTCGGCAAACAAATCATTTGTACTTCTGCCAAACATTCGTGCACAAGTTGTGTTGAAGCCAAAACCATCAGTCGAGTTTTTCCCTCCAGTACCACTGTTATTGATCAACCCTTTCATGTTATTCATACGGATTTGTGGGGCCCATCCTCTGTTATTTCTCGTCATGGTTTTCGTTATTTTGCCCTGTTTATTGATCATGCTACCCGTTTTACTTGAGTCTACTTTCTGCGTCTTAAGTCGGAGCTTCGTTCTGTAGCTACAGAATTTTTAAAAATGATCTGTACTCAATTTGATCGTCCTGTCAAAATCGTTCGCTCCGATCCTGGTGGTGAGTTCAGTTCATTTCCATTACATGAGGTTTATCGTTCTCTCGCCATTCTTGGTCAAAAATCTTGTCCCGGAGTTTCACAGCAAAATGGTCTATTAGAACGCAAAAAACATCATGTTTTGGATCTTACTCGTGCTCTTCTTCTGGCTTCTAATGTTCCTAGTCGTTTTTGGCCAGAGGCAGTAGCCACAGCTGTCCGTCTCATTAACTACCAAATTACCCCCGTCCTGAACAATATGAGTCCGTACTTTGCCCTCTATTCCAAACATCCCGACTACTCCTGTCTTCGTGTTTTTGGCTCTCTTTGTTTTGTTCTTCTTCCTCGGAGAGAGCAAACTAAACTGTCCTCTAAGACTGCTCGGTGTGTCTTCTTGAGATATAGTGATGTGCATAAAGGTTATTTGTGTTAGATCCGTCCTCTCAATGTATGCGTATTGCGGCCACTGTCATATTCTTTGAACATATCATGCTCTACACGTGTTCATCCTCCTCTCCGAGTTTCCTTCCATCCACGTTGCCGTTGCCATTTTTTTGGTGATGATGATGCTCTCGGTGATTATTTTTTCCCACTGGAATCTCCTCCCTCTCCTCATCCGATGCTGTCTTCCCCCACCACATCTCCTGGATCGGGCTCCCCACATTCATCTCCCAGCAGCCTGCCTTCATCAAGCCCACTACAACACACAGGATCTCCATTATCTTCATCCTTGGCCGCCAGCTCCTCTACTGTTCCCCACAGCTCTCCTATCATATCTATCGCGCCAAGCTCCCCTGAGCTCCACCTCGTTGTTCTGATCGGATTAATAAAGGTATTCCTCCACCTAAATTTAATGACTAAGTAGCTCATGGGGTGGATGCATTTCTTGTTCCGACCAGATTTAAACAAGCTCAAGGTGATCCTGTTTGGGACTATGCTATGAAGCGCGAGTTAGATGCTTTGCATTCCAACAATACTTGGACGTTGGTTCCCCGTCATCCTCCCTCTACTTCTGTCATTGGCTGCCGGTGGGTGTCAACTATCAAAATGAATCCTGATGGTACAGTTGAACGTCACAAAGCTCGTTTGGTTTCTCAAGGGTTTACACAGGATCTTGGAGTGGATTATGGTGAGACTTTCCCTCCAGTGGCCAAGATGTCCACCATCCGCACATTATTGGCTGTTGCATCTCTACAGCAGTGGCCACTTCATCAGCTCGATGTGAAGAACGCCTTCCTTCACGGCGATTTGGACGAGGTTATTTACATGGAGCGAACCCCTGGTTATTCACTTGGTACTCCTGATCAGGTTTGTCGTCTCCATCGCTCTCTGTATGGTCTCAAACAGGCTCCTCCGCCTGGTTTGAGAAATTTCACTCCACTATCTCCCGACTTGGTTACCAGCGGAGCTTAAATGACCCGTCTCTGTTTACTCGCAAGACTACGGCTGGTTTGGTTGTTTTGCTACTTTATGTCGATGATATGGTCATCACTGGTTCTGATCTTGAGGGTATTCGCAGTCTCAAGGAGGGTCTTAATGTCGCCTTCAGTATAAAGGATCTTGGTTCACTCTCTTACTTTCTTGGTCTCGAAGTCACACGACATTCCAAGGGTCTTCTCTTGAGTTAGCACAAATACATCTCCGACCTATTATCTGATCATCATTTTCATGACTGCAAACTTGTCACCACGCCCATGGAATCAAATCTGCGGCTGGGCCGTACCTCCGGTACTCTCCTTCCCGATCCGGCGACTTATAGGAGCATTGTTGGGAGTCTGATATATCTTCCTGCTACTCGCCCCGATATCTCCTATGTTGTTCTTATAGTTAGTCAGTTCATGGTTGCTCCCTGTACTGATCATTTAGCAGCTGTACATCGGATTCTTCGCTATCTTCAGGATACTCGTGATGCCGGTATGTTCTTTCCTTGTTCTGGGTCTCTTGCTTTACTTGCCTATTCAGAATCTGACTTCGAAAGCTGTGTGGATACTCGTCGATCTACTACTGGTTGGGATGTTCAGTTTGGTTCGTCTTTCATTTCCTGGCGCTGCAAAAAACAGGAAAAGGTCTCTAAGTCCTCTACCGAAGCTGAATACTGTGCAATGTCTGATGTTGCGTCTGAACTTGTTTGGCTGCGTCGTTTACTCCGTGATATGGGCGTCTCTTGTCCTCTTCCTATGGATCTTCATGTGGATAATACGAGTGCTATACGGATCGCCGTCAATCCTGTACTTCATGAT